CGCACCCCGCGCGCCCACGTGCCCCGCCGCGGGAGAGGCCCGCCTGCCGGTGGGGGGCGCCCGCCCGGAGGACGGCTCCGATCCGAAGGCCGACAGGAGGGCGGGCTGGGGGCTCCCGGGCCCCCCTCCCGCCCGCTGCAGGCCTTCGAGGCCGGCGGGGAGTCACGCTTCACTGCAGGCGGCCGCGGCCCGCCGGGGCTGGGGAGGTGGGAGCAACAAAGACAGTGGAGCGAGGGTGGCATCTCGCCTCACCAGGGCCCTAGCTAACCTGCGCACTCCCTGCAGAGCGGCTCCAGTCCCGAGCGCCCGGGGCTTCAGCCCCCAACTGCGGAACCCCGTGGCTTGGAGCGGCGCTTAAAGACCCACCGACTACCCCTCCCCTTAGTAACAGGCTGGAGGGAGCTAAAGGAGCCCCATCCATAATCGCAGTGCCACCATCCAGAGGGCTTTACATCACTCAGCGCTGATGGCGAAGCAGCGTGTGGCGACTCAACGTTCAGTTTACTGAGCCTTCGCCATGTGCCAAGCACTGTGCCAGGTGCTGGGGATACCGCGCGGAGTCATACAGACACTATCCACCCTGCCCTGGGAGCTGGCAATCTCGTTGGGGAGACACACAATAAAGTGAGAAAGTCAAATGGATAAAGCCTGTGCAGGAAAAGAAGGGGGTGCAAATAGTGTGATTAGGAAAGGAGGAGGTGGCATTTAAGCTGAGCCCTGAGAGATAGAAAAGAAACAACCATATAAAGATCCAGGGAAAAGCTTTCCAGAAAGAGGGAGCAGATGTAAGAAAGGCAGAAGGAGGGGCCAAATCTTAACGCCTTGGAACTAAGAGGTGGTGATTGTGATTGGCGCCAGGAGAGCTGTGGAGAACAGCAGACTGTAAGGCTGGGCAGGTTGGCAGCTGCATCCTAGTCCATGGGCAGGCCATTTTATTCCAAAATCAATGGGAGGCCATTGAATGAATGGCTTAACTCCAGGGCATGACGTGATTTGGCTTATATTTCTTTCAACTAAACTTTTTTCTTTTGGGATGATGTGGATTCACATGCATTTGTAAGAAATAATATAGAGAGATCCCATGTACTCCTTTTCCAATTTCCCCCAATGCAAAACCACATTACAAGATAACCAGGATATTGACGTTTGTACAATCTACTGATGTTACTGCATTTCCCCACTTGTACTCATTTGTGTGTGTGTACTTAGTTCTATACAATTTGAGGTTCTATACAATTTTATCACATGTGTAGGCTCCTGTTTCCACCACCACAGTCAATATACAAAGCAGTTTCATCATTGCAAGGATCTCTCCTGTTACCCTTTCATAGCCATAGTCATTTCCCCAGTTTCCTCAGTCCCTCGCCATTGGCAACCATTGATCTGTTCTCTTTTTCTGTAATTTTGATATTTCAAGAATGTCATGTAAACAGATCACACAGTATTCATTCTGAGATTGGCTTTTTTCACTCAGCTTGATTCCCTTGAGATTCATCCAAGTTGTTGCGTGTATCCATAGTTTGTTCTTTTTTGTTGCTGAGTAGTATTCCAGATCTGACTTATATTTTAAAAATACCACCTTCACTGCTGTGTGGAGAATGGTTCGGAGGAGATTAAGAATCTAAACGGGGAGAGTAGTTAGGAGGCTTTCCCAAGAGTCTCAATCCAAGCTGATGATAGGTTACATTAGGATGGTGCCAGTGGAGAGAAGTGGAAGGATTTGATGGTACAGAGTTGAAGAGGGAATTAAAGTGGAGACCACATGGGGTAGACAACTGTTTCAAGACCTTTCGCTGTAAAGGGAAACAGAAATGGAGCGAAACTGGAGGAGTGTGTAAGGACAAGGGAAGGTTCCCTTGTCTCTTCAATTTGAGAAATGAGAGCGTGTTTGTAAACAGTTTAGGGATAATCGGTAGGGAGGGATTGATGAGGCAAGAGAGAGAAGGGTTCAAGTCCCAGCCTAGATGAGATGGAATGAGAGCTGAATTCAATGGGGGGATTGGCCCTTGATCTGCAGAAAGTCATTCTCCACTGTAAGGAAAACCAGACCATGGAGGTCGATGGTGATGGAGGTGCAGCAGTATATGTAGATCCAGCAAATAGAGCCTGATGACTCCTGTTTTCCCCATGTCGCACAAACTGGGTGGTGGCCTCCTTTACTAGAGAACCAGAAGCATAAGCCCTTGCAAAGTCCCCTTCTCTCCCCCTGGCACCAGAGACCGGGGCTTTCTCTCTTGCCATTCCAAGCCGTCAGAAGCACTAAAATTTGGTCTTTCTGGATGGCAAGAGAGGTGGCCGCACTACATGCTACCCAGGAGAAGAGGAAGCCAATGTGCCCACACCCCATCATGGGAAGGCGCTGAACAATCAGCTCAGTGGCAAACAACTCTCCCCACCCCAATACCAACCCTGAGCCTATTCCAAAAGAAATGGCCAAGAAGCACCCAAGATGGAAGGCTCTGGACAGAGGACCCTGTCTCAGGGAAACTTCCAGCCATCCTTTGGCACTCGATCAGTGTTAGCTGTGGTTCATTCTTCCTAAGAGCCCTTCCTTCCTCCCCCTTCCTTTTCTTCATTCTTCTTTTCCTCCCTCTTTCTTTCCTTTCCCCGCCCCCTGTTCCATTCCTTCCTTCCCACCTCCTTTCTTCCCACTTCCGACACTTCTTTTCTCCCTTCCTCCCTCTGCAGACATTCCTGATGCTCCTACTAGGTACAAAGCATGCCGCCTCACTGTCCACATTGGCCTAGCTTGGTCTGCACCCAAGGCCAGCCCTGTCTGCCTCTCAACACTTCATCTCCTGGATTATGCTCAATTTTTGTGGGTCATGGAAACACATTGTTCCACTTAAAGCATGTGGGGCACTGTGGTGTGTTGCAGAATAAGCAAAACAAATAGAAGGAAGGGGGTTGCCCAAATTGTGAACTTGTGTGCTGTATTTTGGTAATGTTTGCAGCATTAAGAAGCAAAAAGAAATTAAGTAGACTAAAATCAGATGGTGTGATCTCGGATCTGATCTTTTGCATTTTTTGTTTGAGTAAGGAAATAGGCATGAGGAAAAGGATCTTCAATTTCAACAGAATTTAAAGCACTCTTGGAAGGAAATATGGAGCATTCATCAGCACACAAAGTAATCGAGTCCTTTGCCTTCTCTTCAAAAAGCACCATGAGGACTAATCATTATAAGTTATCAAAAATGTGTTATATAACACATAGTTTGCATGCATCATTTTGTTTGCTCTCATGTTAGATACTTGACAGATGAGGAAACTGAGGCTTCAAGAGGTTAAGCAACTTTGGAGCCAGGATTTAAAATCAAGCAGCTTAGCTCAGAGCCCACAATCTAAACCACTATACTGTACTTCCAAAACAGTGAAAGGAGAGTGTTCATCACTTTTACTACAGTCATCCAAAGTGGCTGCCTTCTTTTAGGTAAGTGATTCTTTTTTCAAAGTGGGGCTGATTACTTCATTGGACTTTTCCTTGTCAGTGGAACCCACAGGGAAGCTGTTCCTAAGCATCGAATGTCCCCTTCCACAAGGGGCCTGAAGCCTACAGACAGTTGCACATTTCATCATCATCACATGCCATGGCAATGGTGGAGCCCAATACGACTCCCAGAAGGCACATCTACCTCTGACCAGCCTTCCTCACTCAGACCCTATGGGCTGTCAGCCTGGAGTCTGGAAGGATCTTGAAACACATCCCATGCATTCTTCTCTTAAAACCCTCTTCTGCCTAGAACACAGTTCCTACAACTTCCTGGACATCTCAACAATTCACAGGTAGCTCAACCTCAGTAGGTCCAAAGCTGAACCCCCCGCCTGCCTACTCCCACCCTGACATATTTCTCTTCCTGTGTTACCTGTCTCCATTAATGACATGCCACCCACCCAGGCACACAAAGTAAAAGCTTCCATTGCTTTTGACTGTTTCTTCTTCATGTCTAATAGGTCATCAAAGTCCTATAAATTCTCCTTCTGAAATAGTGAGACCTCATCGTCTCTTCCAAGTCATCCCTGAACAACTCAGGCAGCATCCATTGCTCCCACGGCACTTGGTTCATGATGTTAGCACAGCAGGTAATCATGACATACCTGGTGATTTCATGTGTCCATTTCTTCCACCAGATCATAGGCTCCTTGAGGGTAGGTAATGTGTCTTCCCTGTTTATACTTCCTGTTTCTCGGTAGGTATTAATTTAATATCTACCATTAGTATGGTATGGTAGATATTAAATTAATAGTTCTTTTAAAAAACATTTCATTATGGTAGAATATAAATAAACATAATAGAGAATATAGTATAATGAACTTCCACGTACCCAATACCCAGCTTCAACAATTATCAACACATGATCTATTTTGCTTTATTTATAATTCCTCTACCCATTCCCTCCAACACACACACACACTGGACTATTTTAAATCAAATGCAAGACATCATATCATTCCATCATGAAATACTTCAGTATATATTACCAAAAGATAAAAATTCTCTTCTCCTTTTTATATCATCAGCACAATAACATTATCACACTTAAGAGCACTTAGCTAAAATTCCTTAATACCAACAAATACCCACTCAGGATTCAGAATTCCCTAGATGCCTCCCAAATGGTTTTTTTTTTCACAGTTCATTTATTCCAACCAGAACTTTTTTGGTGTGATATGTAAAATTTATATGACATTCACATTTCAGTCTCCATAAATGAAGTGTTGTTGGAACACAAGCATTTTCATTTGTTTGCATGTTATCTGTGGCTGCTTCTTCAATACAACAGTAGAATAGAGTAGTTCTGACAGAGATCATATGGCCCACAAAACCTGAAATATTTACTATCTGATGTTTTACAGAAAAAGTTTGTTGACCCCTGGTATAAACAACTTCTATTTTGGTAACCT